GAACCTTGGGAAGTCCGGCCTACGTGTGTCCTGCCTTGGTTTAGGTAAGTTGGTCTGAAGGAGCGGAAAAACTCTTCGCTAAAACCTTGAAGCTAAGCTACCTGTGCTCGTCTCGTCTCATTCAGGCACCTGGGTGACATTTGGATCACAGATCTCTGATGAGGTGAGAGCTCGGTCGTGCTTGCACTGGAATACTAGAACTAGTTTCTTTGTGCCTCTCAAATGTTTCAAACCTTAAAACTTGGATATAATCTGTTCTTTCATGCCGTCATTCTTCCTGGAAACCAAAACAATCTTGGGATCATTAGATTCTCCATTTTTGTGTTTTCCCTCAGATGGCCGAGAACCTCATGACCATAGCTTATGAAAATGGAGTGAACCTGTTCGACACAGCGGAGGTGTACGCTTCTGGAAGGTCAGGCTTGATTCAAGATCTTTTTAACTTCCCTGTTGGGAAACGGAAAATGAAAAAGTCTGTTTAGATCTTTACATGTCTGCAGGTTTCTGAATGTGTTCGTGTTTTTGTCTCTTCAGAGCCGAAATCACTCTAGGGAATGTCATCAAGAAAAAGGGGTGGAGGTGAAATTCATCATTTTGCCTAAATGACTCACATGTTACACCAGACTGCTAGTTATCAGTGGCATCATGTAAAAAGAAACCTTCAGCTTTTATGCTCCTCAGACTCACGACCCTGTCCTTCTCAGGCGCTCCAGTTTCGTCATCACAACAAAAATCTACTGGGGAGGCCAGTAAGTATGGTTTCCCTTAAAAGCTCCTTGTTTCTGACCGTCGCTCCAACAGATGGTGAATAAAGTGTTTTTTTAATTTCTCTACAGAGCAGAGACCGAGAGAGGACTCTCCAGAAAGCACATTATTGAAGGTAACGCTCTTTGCTTGAATAAAAATCACCCCATTAGTGGTGAAAAATCTCCTGATTCCTAAAGCATGAATGTTATTTTTGTATCCTAACAAACTTTAGTAATTACCCATGTTGCACATCAGATGCTGCAAACTTCTGCAGCCGTTTCCAAAACCCACCTGTGCAGGTTTAACCACGGCTGTATCCTCTGCTCTATGAGCCCTTCTATTTCTCTGAGTGCAAAATTAAAATCCAGCAGCAGTTTCACAGCCGATCCCACGAACTGTCGTCTTTCTGTGACTCTATAAGCTTTTGAAGAGAAACTTTTATTTTTAACTCTCAAAACTCCTCTGGGTTTGTGCTTTGACCTTGTGCCACCATGAAATTATTTCTTCAATGCTTAAATTATTATATTATGAAATATCTCAGATTGTTTCAGGACTTGTAATCATCTCGTGGTTATAAAATAACGCTTTAATTCATGGTATGTTGGTTTTATTGACCCGATCAATAATGTTTGATGTGTGTTTTTAAATTCACTAGCAATAATAATAATAATAATAATAATAATAATAATAATAATAATAATACTTTTCATGTAAAAAGCTTAAACCATGTTGCTAAAATAAATTCTTAAAAATTAAATCTAAACTACAACAATAAACAGAATGAAATCTTATAGATCACCAAGTCGCCAAGGAGGCGGACCTTAACCATTATGTCTAATGGTTAAGGTCCGCCTCCTTGGCGACTTGGTGATATTAACCATTTGGAACAACAAAGCAGTGACTATTAAAACTTAAAGAGCTCTGTTCTTTACAGGTTTACGAGGATCCTTATCAAGACTCCAGCTAGATTATGTGGATATAGTTTTCGCCAACAGGAATGACGTCAACAGTCCAATGGAAGGTCGGTCTGTTATGTATATTTTAAATGCTGTCATTGGAGTCTGGGGGTGAGTGAGTGAGTGAGTGAGTGAGTGAGTGAGTGAGTGAGTGAGTGAGTGAGTGAGTGAGTGAGTGAGTGAGTGAGTGAGTTGCCAGTGTCTAATGAGTGCTTTTCAGTCTCACCACTGTTGAGGTTCAGTTTGTTGACTCTCTGGGGCCCCCTTGTGGCCTGGTGGTCCCAATCAATTGCCTGCCCTGCCGCAGCGCCTCTGCGTTTGTGCCTCCCCAACTCTGTCATGTAAAAGTGTCAGATTTATTAGTGCCATATTTAAATAATTTGGCATTAGACATTTTGTTGTTGCTTGTATAGATTTATTATGATTTATTTGTAGCAGGAGCCAGTTGAGGTGGCTTGGGCATCTGGTTAGTATGCCTCCCTGGTGAGATTTTCTGGGCACGTCTAAATGGGAGGAGACCTAAAGGAAGACCCAGGACACGCCGGAGGCACTACGTCTCTCGGCTGGCCAGGGAACACCGTGGGATTTCTGCGTAGGAGCTGGCCCAAGTGGCTGGGTAGAGGGAACTCTGGGCCTCCCTGCTTAGGCTGCAGCCCCCGTGACCCGACCCCAGATGAGCGGAAGAGAACGAACGTGTGGATGTTTGTAGCAGAAATGAGCAGACGAGCAATCGGACTCTTCTCATTTCTGCCTGAATGTCTGATCAAGCTAAAGAAGCTTTTTAAATCAAGTGCTCATTTGGACCTCTATTACTCTATTGGGGTGTTTTAAGAAGACCATTGTAACAGGAGACGAGGACTAGCTGTTAGCTCATCTGTGCAGTGAGAACTGATTTCTGTTTCTCCAAACTGAGGTTGTTCAAGGAGCTATCTACAGCAGGTAAAACGATGATTGTTTATCATTTATTCATAGTGTTATTTGTTGTGGTTTTGCAGAGATCGTTCGGGCCATGACGTTTGTAATAAACCAGGGTATGGCTATGTACTGGGGAACGTCTCGCTGGAGCGCCATGGAGATCATGGTGAAGACCCCAACCACACAGCTGTTGAGTCTGTGACCTGTAAAGTGACGTTAAGTCGTTTTGTTTCTCTTTTTGCCACCAGGAAGCTTACTCAGTGGCTCGTCAGTTCAACCTGATACCACCCGTGTGTGAGCAGGCAGAGTATCACTATTTCCAGAGGGATAAAGTAGAGGTGCAGCTTCCTGAACTCTACCACAAGATCGGTCAGACCCCCACAGTCCCACAGCTTTGTCCACTCTCATGTGTTTAATATTTCTGGTTCACTGACTCTTGCTTCTCTCGCAGGGGTGGGGGCTATGACCTGGTCTCCTCTTGCTTGTGGATTAATCACAGGGAAATACAGCGATGGCGTGCCTGAGTGCTCCAGAGCAGCCATGAAGGTCAGCTGGATTTAACGGACTCTCATCAGGGACTCAAAAGCAGCCTTGCCGAAATCAGGACTGTTTTCTGATTTCTTTCCCTCTGCTTTGGCTCTGATGAAGGGATACCAGTGGCTGAAGGAAAGGGTGAACAGTGAGGAGGGTCGTAGGCAGCTCGCTAAAATCAAGGAGCTCCATCTACTGGCCGACAGACTGGGCTGCACTGCTGCACAGCTGGCCATAGGTAAACCATGATGCAACTTTTTTTACATGTCAGCATCGTGTGACTGGAGCGGATTATTCAAGTCATTTACTGCTGCTTCATGGCTAAAGGGCAATATGTTTAGGTCCTTATTTTAGTAATCAATAGTGTTACTTTCTGGTTATAAAATATACTGTCTGATTTCTATTAAAACAAAAATTCAAAGATGCAAGTTGAAATATTTTAGCTGAATAAAAGGTAACAAAAAAATGTAACTTGAGCTTTTTTTTAACAACATTTGTTTAATCATAATAAAAAGTGCAAGTGCTAAATGCTGTACAGGAGAAATGTGGCTAAAATTAGGTAATTACAATAATTTAGCTGTTTCAGAAAGATTGGGCAGTCATGCGTTTGTGCAGATCTGCATGAAGTTAACTTGTTGCACTCATCTATCCCTCTGAATATTATGTTACATTCACTAGATATGATCTCTAATTAATTTGCATAGTTACTTGTATAATTTGATTTAGAAAAGTTACATTCAGAATCAGGTTTTGTTGCCGTATGTGTGGGAAAACAGGAAATTGCTGCAGCACTTGGTGCAAAAAAGAAAGATAAAAATAAGAGGAATAACAGAAGTGAGAATATCTTCATGTAAACCACTATAACTATTTATTTAGCTCTTTAAAGATGACAGCTGCATGTGACATAAACATGTTTTATTGAAGTATCCACTGAATTATAATTTAAAAAATTAAAAATAATGTTTTTGTTAATTTTTTATTATTTCTCTAATATTTTTACTTCTAGTTTAATTTAAAACATTTTATTTAGTTATATATTATTTATTTATTCCTCAATCATTATCTTACATTAAAAAAATCCATCAGATCCAAACACAGTCAGTGTAATTATCAGAGGTGTGGATTCGAGTTACATGACTTGGACTCGAGTCAGACTCGAGTCATTATTTTAATGACTTCTGACTTGACTTGATAAAATCTATAAAGACTTACGACTTGACTCGGACCTGAACGCCAATGACTTGCAACTTGAATCGACTTGCATCTGTTGACTTGATAATGACTTGAGCATATTTGATATTTTTGCACTAAAGTGACACGACATGGACAAAAATCATGAATCGTTCTCCAGTCTGGGTGTGATCTTGTTCTGCTAACTGCAGCAGCACTTTGTTTATAATCAGTTTCAGTTGCTCTTCCTGCTTGTTTGGGCAAATAGGTGAAGCTTTAAGAAGCTTTATTTCTGGAATTTATTTATTATCATTGTCATTAAATTGAAGTTGGACAGATGACTTGATTATGACTTGAAAATTCAAAATTAAGGACTTGGACTTGACTTGGACTTGGTTCTTTCACTTGGACTTGACTCGAGACTTGACTGGAAAGATTAGTGACTTACTTGTGACTTGCAAAGCAGTGACTTGGTCACACCTCTAGTAATTTTCCAGTTTATTTCTTATCATTTTGCCAGTTTAGAAAACAGAGTTCTGCTCTAAAGCCGGAGCGCATGAGGAACTCGTGACCTTCTGGGTTTTCCTCATTTGGATATTTTTCTCCTCAGCCTGGTGTCTTCGGAGTGAAGGAGTCAGCTCAGTCCTTCTGGGCGTCTCTACCGCAGACCAGCTAATCGAGAACCTGGGTGCCCTCCAGGTAAAGCGCTCACACATCTGAACTATATGTCCTGTCACACAGAGCCTGGCTTGTTTTGAGATTTGTGTTACACACAGAGAGGAACGTGGCAAACAGACTTCTTGTCTTCATTTCAGATTTTATCCCAAATGAACCCTCAGACCATCACCGAGATCGACGCCCTGCTGGGAAACAAGCCACACGCCAAGAAAGAGTCACGCGCCTGAAAGCAACCGAAGAAGTTTCAAGGAGGAGGAGGAAAAAACTTTGGGGGAAACAAACGTCGCTTTTTGCTCTGCTGTATACTCAACTTGCATGTTCTCGGCAACATTACGCTTCCAGTATGTGCGCATACCCATTCTGCGCCGCAAATATTACCATGTATTTACAGAAAAAAAAAAGAGTTGTGGATGAGGAGGAGATCACTTAATGCTCACTGTCCGTTGTTCAGGAGGCAGGCGAGAGCTGATGTTTGCTAAAGAAGGTCAGACTCTGGTGGGGAATAGAACCCCCACCTCTTTGCTAAAATGGGACTTTACTGGTGCTTTCACTGGACGTGCGAGCCTCCTCCCGTTGCAGCTGCCTGTTACTCTTTACCATGCTTAGCACTCTGCAGCCAAAGGGTCAAAGGTCAACACTCAAGTGTCTAGCCCAACTTATCCCATAATTTGCATGTGACTGGTCGGCTACGCTCACGGCTTTACAGGGTTGGGAACACTGGAGTGTTTTTAGAGTTTTTAAATTACTCCGACTGTTAAAAAAGGAAAAAGATCTGTCTGTCTGGTAAAAAAGCAACAAATATTCTTCTTTTTAAAAAATAACAGCTGCTGGTTTAAAATATAACAAGAGCTTTTGTTTTCCGAGAGAATGTTTCATCAAAACCAGACTTTATGATGAGGTTTTTAAGGTGGATCTCCCAACCCGGCGACTCTCCCAGCAGTCTTTTTGCCTCCTGTTTGTAAACTGTGCGCATGTCCCTTTAAGAGAGAAAAGCCCTAAAAGGGTGTAAATGTGGCATGGCTTATGTAGATTTGCAGTGCCCTTGTAAGCCATTGTTTCTTTTTTTTAATATTATTATTTTCTTCTAAGTGGTCCAGCAGCTGGACCGGTTACTCTAAAGACTCTCAGCCGTCTGAAACTAGACGGGCGATGCCTGAAGGGGATTTGGATGCACTGTGGGGATCAATTATTCACTTGGACAGAGATTTAGAGAATGTCTTTATTATTTTTGTTAAACTTAAAAATATAAAGCTTCTCTGCTCATTTATCCGACTATTCTTTGATTGACTCTTATGCCTTATTTGTTTAATTGATCGTGACTTTTTAGTCTTTTTTTCTCAGATTTGTTGCTTTTATTCTCAATGGTTGGAAATTAGCTTCCCATGAAGAAAACACAATATGGCTTTTACTCATGACCAGTTTTATTCAACACTAGGTGAAAATATGGATTCTGAGGTGTGACTGTCTCCAGCCGGACTCAGAGGACCTGTCAGTGAAGCATAAAAAAAAAACCTTAATGTGGTAAATCTGCCTGCAAATTTTAATGTCTTGCAACAAAGGAAAAAAAAACACTGAGGTTTGATGATTGAACACATGTCTGCTGCTGAATGCTCAGAACATGATTTAAAATCTGCAGAACACTCCAGCAAACATGTACTTTAAGAATTGGTGCAAAAGATTGTCGGCAGGAATTACCCAGAACCAAACACGGAACGCTGGATAAGACTTTGTACTGAAGATAAAATCTGGGATAGATAAATCATAGGTCAACCTCAGACAAGTCCATATTTGGAATCAGTTGTTTATGTATTTGTACAGAGATATTCATTAAAGCAGAAATCCAGGGTATTTTCTGAGAAGGCACCATCTAGAGGTGAACAAAGCACATTGCACCTTTACTCCTCCTTTCCACCAGACGCAAAAGCGTTGCCAAACGTACTTTGCGGCAGTTAGCGCCGTTATAGTGGACGGGTTCCTTTCCACCAGCTATAGAGTGTCACCAATTTGGACGTGTCCCAGAAGCGTAAGGACATGCTGCTTACGCTTCAAGTCTAGTTTTTGGACTCTATGCTTCTAGAACACTTCAAACTCCACAGTTCAGATCGGGCCAGACAGGAAGTCTTAAATAAGATAGATTATCCAGAGTTATCTCTGTAGTTATGCTGCTATAGGCTTAGACTGCTGGAGGACACACTGACCACTTTTCACACTCTACTACTTTCTTCTACAATCTGCTCTTTAACTGTATTATTTTCTGCAATTGCAGCTGTTAACTTTATTTTCTCTTAGTGTTTTTCTCCCCAGAAGAAGCTACAATAATGTTCTGCTGAGCTGTGGTGGCCTCATGGAGGGGGCCATCGTCTAGCACACTGCTGCTAACCACTTAAACATTCTCCCTCTCCTGATAATAACTTTTTGCTTTCCTTGACATTGGACGTGCTACTACTAGTTTACCCGTTTAATTATAGATTCACTAGGATAAACACAATAAAGTTTATCTCTCACCAAGTAGAATATTTACTAAGAAATCACAATATAACTATAGACACATTACTTTGTCTGTGTGTGTGTCTGCCTGCTCTGTCTTCTCCATCCCCAGTGAGTCATGGCAGATGGCTGCTTATACTGAGCCAGGATCTTCTGGAGGTTTCTTCCTGTTTTCCTCTCCACTGTCGCTTTATGCTTGCTTAGTATGAGGATTGCTGTAAAGTCACTGACACTAGTCAGTGACTTGATGCAATTTGCTGGGTTCCTTATATAGGAAACATTATTTCTGATTGGCTTAATGAACTGACCTGAATTGGAATGTTTAATATGTGAAGTGCCTTGAGACGTCTCTTGTCGTGATTTGGCTCTATGTAAATAAAATAAAATTGAATTGAATTGAATTAAATGAAAGCAGCGTAAAAAAATCCAGAAACTTAAATAAAAGTCATGTGCACATTTCCAGTTGTTAAACCAGTAAAACCTGTACTTAGCTTTCTGTAGCTGAGATAAAAGGAACAGAAAATAAAAAATCTTTTTTGGATACATGCAGCCGTCTTCGTCCTTGCTTGCTATCGTTTAAAACGTCCAAAATCACATGTGGTGTTGCAATTATCCCGTGATTTTGTGACCTCGCGGGACCAGCTGTGTGGAACGCTTGCACACCCATTTCGCGTCTGAAATGGACAGGAGTTCACCAGTAAAGCACTTTTTTTACGTTACACGTCGCTCATGCGTTTGTTAGAAAGCAAGGGTGAGCCCTTCTCCCTACTTCTGTAATCACGACATGAAGCAACAGCTGTAGCCAGCCAATGGAGCAAAAGCACATTGTTTTACGATAGCTGCAAATAAATATATAAATAAATAATTTACACACACACACACACACACCTCATCTATAAGAAATGTTGCCAATTCTGTATAGGCAAGCGCTCAAACGCTCGCACAAATTACATGGAGCTCTACGGGATGGGGGGACGGGCTTAGCAAGAAATCAATGACATATTGCCCACATTACATCACAGTATATATCCCTGTAAGTATCACTTTTACGGATTTCTAATGAAGTTACACCTGATAGGGAGAAAAGTCCGGATTGTTGCTTGAATACGTTGCGGTAAAACAATCTACAAGATGCTAGCTAGCAACTAAACAAATACATTGTGGGTTATAAAACCTTCCTAAAATTATTTATTTATATATTTATTTTACCCTTTAAAGCGAAGTCAGCTAAAGATAAGTTAAGTAAGACTGTTGAAACTGAAATATTCAAAATTCTTCACTCTGCCTTTTTACACATACGATAGGATTAGAGGTTTTCTTTTGTTGATGCTCAACATTTAGCACGTGTGGTCAAAGGTTTGAACTTTTATGGTTTTACAGCCTGAATGAACCGAAAGCTGATAAGATTCAGAGCAGCGTGCATTCCTTCATGGATTATCAGGTTGGGTTTCTCCATGTTTGCACTTGTTCTGTTGTTTGTGCAAAAGCGTGTTCACCAGTAGGAACAGACAGCACAAGACTGTCTCCTCGTCTCATCTGCTGCATGTTTGAGCTGAAACATGTCTGTCCTGCTTTCACCTGAGCTGCTTCCTCTTTTTTGTGTTTAAGCTTCTCACACTGGTAAATTGAAGTTGTTTTCTTGGACATGACGATGTGGACAAACAGCTTTAGTTTCCATGATTACTCTCTGTAAATGCAACAAAGGCCCTTATTCAATGACTAAACTGTAACAGCAGTATGAAATAAAGGTGGGGAAATGCTGCATTTACACGCTGTAACACAGACCTGTAGCTCTGCAACCCTGCTGCTGTGAATTCAGCTAATCTGAGAAATACTGGATGGAACAATTATGAGTTCGGTTTGAATTTAGATCAGCAATTTACAGAAAAACTACGAGTTTAAATGATTCATAATGTTTTTATATTGCTTTTGTTGCCACTGCCTTGCTGGAATAAGCAAAGCTTCAACTAAATAATAGTGATGTGACGTTCACGATCGAATCGAATCTTTTTAACGGGTTTTCAAAGTGAACGATGAGAGCCGAGTCCCTGTAGAGAGACGTTCATCTGAACAAACCTCCCCGGAAGTCGGTCAAACTCACCTGCTCAAACCCCACCCACCGCTGTGAAGGACATAGAAGGAACCATAGAAACACGTGTTTATATACGTAACTTGGGAGAAATGCTAACCAACCCTTTGTGCCCTCACGGACACTGCAGGAAGACGTTACTCTTGGCCCCCCACCCCACCCGACCGACTAATGAACGGCTCCCATGAAAGAGACATAAATCCCATCACTACTAAATAACAACAGTTTCAGACATTTTCAATCGAAAGAATAGAAAAGCACGATTCTATTAACACAGACTGCATTCCATTCATATGTCGCTACACTTGTATTTCACAGAACAGCCAGAATGTACCGTGGTAGAAATGGAATGCAACCTTTATTAATACACCTTCTTATTCTTTCAGTTAAATATGTTTGAATGCATCTGGCTTACATTACGTTTTCCACTGTTTTCACTTTAAATGTCGTTCACCTCAGCAGTCACTGAAACACTGGTCGTCCTCAGATCAGATGCTAAATTCTCCTCTAAAACGGTTAAAGGGTCACTTAAACAGAGGACGCCACAAAATTTCACATTATCCACGCCTGTCGATGCTTCGTGAACAGCAGCGATGCCCGCTGGGACACTATACACGCTCACCATTTACACATCTGTGATGCCAAACACTCACAGCCTTTTCTGTTCCTGGACTCCCAAGTGCCATCGGAGAGGCAGACGAAGCGTATGTGATGAGGAGTGTTGACTGCCTCACCGCCCTGCAATGTTGCACCAAAACAGGCTTTGCTCCATGATTCATCATGATTCACCATTTGCATAGAGAACAGTTGGACGAGGTGATAAAACTGCAGATGCATCCAGTCAGTTGAGAAGCAGCTGCTCAGGAGGGTTGGCAGTTCAAATCCAGCTCTATCAATGACTCTATGTTGTATTATTAATAGAAGTATTGTCATTACTATACCTTGGGTCAGCTACTGATGTTCTTATGTGAGCTGCAGTGCATCCATGCATGTCCAACATCAGTTTTATCTTACAGCACTAATATGCATCAATCTGCAGCAAATTAATTCAAGAATTTTTTTTCCTCCTTTAAAAAAAGTTTTAACATGTCTACTGGCCTGAAGTTTGACACCGTAGTTTTATTCATCCAAAATGAACATTAGAGACAATGTGTAGTTTTCACCGTTATCTGGAACTTCACCCAAGTCTGCATCGATGCGGACTTGGGTGAAGTGTATTACCCACAATCCATTGCTGCGGGAGAATTTCTAATGAAATTAGTTCATTTTAGGATTATTATTTGATGGTCTGAAACTTAGAAAAGGCAACAATGAATGTAATTTTTTTTCCCAAATAACTGTTTGGTTGTTTGTTTGAAAGTATATCACAAATAATATCACAGAAACTAGCATTCCGGCATGCGTTGCGGTCAAATACGCAATGCTCCCTGTCCCAATTCGGCAATTATCTGCATACTTGTGCACTACGCACTCGGAGCCCTGCTGCGCACTTTCTCCAAATGCACTTTGCTGAAGACCGCAGGGCGCACTTGCACCCTCGCACCCTTTTTAACTCGTTCCCGGCCAGGGGTGCGAGTGCGTAGGGTGTCCCGATTCTCAAGTGTGGAAGTTGACCACACCCCCATTGCACCCTTAATCTGCACTTCACCAAAGTCCGCAGCGATGAGGACCTTGGGCAAGGGTATTACCCACAAGTCATTGCTGCAGGAGAAATGGATGAAGTTAGTTTTCTGAAAATATGTATTTTCTAATGAAATTAGTTCATTTTAGGAAGATTATTTGATGCTCTGAATGTTTTAGACAAAGCAGTAATTGCTTTATTGTTTGTTTGAAAGTTGTTAATAAAGGTTTTTGAAAGTTTCACAGCGACCAGCATCACGTCATGCGTTACGATCGATGACGCAATGCTCCCTGTCTCAATTCGGCAATTATCTGCACACTTGTGTACTACGCACTCGAACCCTACTGTGCACTTTCTCCAAGTGCACTTTGCTGAAGACCGCAGGGCGCAGTGCGAGTATTGAGATTGGGCCTGTGTTTCTGAGAGACGCCATGTTTTCTTCTACGGGAGCCTGTGAAGACAAAATGCATTCACTGATCTGTAACAGTTACAAAACTTTCACCATTCATAAATGTTGTTGTTGTTGCTTCCTGTCTTTAATTCGTCCCCAAAGCCTGCACATCTGCTCAGTCATTTTCAAATCCCCAGGCTGGTTTTACAGTACGAGTCCTCAACATAAAACACAAAACACGCAGCAGGCTGCCTCTTCCACAGGGAACCGAGGGATTGAAACGCCCACCTCCAGCAGAAGTGTCGCCCATCTCTGAATGTAATGTTTTCCTCTCACCAAAAATTAACTATTAATCTTTCTCATTTTTTCTCAAAGCAATTAGCGTGCAATACCTCCACAGAGTAAAATGTTGCAAATGAAAGAAATGAGGAACAGTAATGTAATCATAAAATCTTTATTTTTTACTAAAATACGTTTCATGCACATTGTGTCACTTTCTACAACAATTAATGGAACCACACATTTAAACTAGTGCAGGGCCACCTTTGAGGCATTTTTCAAAAAAAAGGCAAAAAGGAGTTTAAAGTCCGTCAAGTTATGTTTAAGTGAAACTTCCAGGTGGCTTTGAACCCTCTTCTGCGGCTGCACACCTGTGTTCATACAGCAGGAAGTTTACCTGCTCATCGTACCTCACGTGTCTAAAAATGCTGCAAAGATTTTAAAAAATCACAAACTACTAGGAATTAAATTTAAAACAATGCTGAGGAGAGTAAAACTCATTGAATAAGTTATCTGTAATATTAAGAAAATATATTTTTACCTAATTAAAGGGACTCTGAAGTTTGTTTCTGTGTAAAAATTTAAATTATAAATTAACTCATGAACAGCCTTGGTTTAGAGAAAAAGAGATCGTGTCCAACAAGACCGATGAGCATATGGCTATTAGGGCGCTACCAATACCAAAGTGTATTGCTCCTACCTTAAGACAGCTCCTGTCTGCAAAATGTCAGAGATACACGCTGCATTACTTTGCAAACCTTTAAAACAGCATGGTTATTTAAATGGAATCATATGGTTATTTACAAGTGTAAGTGTCACCAGCAGCACATAAATGCAGCACATCAATTCAATTCAATGCAAAACTAATAAGGGACATAAGTCGTGCCCATCTACTTCTGGACCATGGGTCTCCAACTGCCCAAAAAAATGAATGCAAGTCTATGAGCGGATGAGTTATTTTCTGATCCCATTGGATACGTGCTATGATTTAACATATGATGTCCGTGAATTTTAAAGACACATTTTGATGCCAAGAAAGTGCTTATTTTCAAGAAGCGACCACATTTATTTTAGGTTTTGTGTGAAAAGACGTAGCGAACTACAAATGTTCGTCTCACCAAATTGAGGACATCCAACCAGACAGAGAAGAAGAGAAACAAATGGCTGTGACTTTAGCAAGCTTCAAATCCTTCCTTTCAGAACGTGAGAAGAAGCATCAAGCGTGGAGAAAACCACTATAAATCTAGCCATGTGGTACGTAGCAGCTAAGCTACGCTATATTTTTCCATTTAAATTGAAGTACAACATACATGTGAGTCAGGGAGTAAGGAAAAGCGGATTAGAAAATGACTTTTATGGCCTTGCTTTCATTTTTTTCTTTGTTCCAGGGACCCATTAGCTAACTGGAAGGGGAGACTTAATGTTCACATGGAACGCTAGGGAATGAACACAACAGTGGCTGTTTATAAAGCAGAATACATCTGCTTTAGGATCGGGTTAATTTAGACCATATTAACGATGGCTTATCCAAACACACCCATACAGTGGGTGCAGAAAGTCTTCAGACCAGTCAATTTTTCACTCTGTTATACTGCAGTCACTTGCTAAAATCAATTAAATTGATTTTTTCCTCAATTATGTACACATACTGACAGATAAACACAGAATTTTATAAACGTCTGCAGTTGTTAAAGACAAACTGAAATATCACAGAGGTCCGACAGAATTGTGGCAAGGCGCAGATCTGGCCAAGGTTACAAAATTAAATATCTGCTGCACTTTAGGTTCCTAAGAGCACAGTGGCCTCCATGATCCTTAAATGGAAGATGTTTGGGACGACCAGAACCCTTGGAGCAGGCCATCCAGCCAAACTGCGCTACCGAGGGAGAAGAGCCTTGGTGACAAATGCAGTCAGGAGATGGAGAAAGTTGGTGAAAGTCAGCCATCACTGCAAACCTCAGCTTTATGGCAGAGTGGCCCGTCGGAAGCTACTCCTCAGTGCAAGATACATGAAAGCCTGAGTGGAGTTTGCTAAAAGATACCTGAAGGACCCCCGAGATGGTGAGAAATAAGATTCTCTGGTCTGATGAGAGAAGCGGAATGTGTTTAGAAAACCAGACCTGGTTCATTAATTGTCCAGTCCCCTCAGTGAAGCATAGTTGTGGCAGCATCATGCTGTGGGGGTGTTTTTCAGCTGCAGGGACAGGACGACTGGTTGCAGTTGGGGGAACGATGAATGCGGCCAAATACAGGGATATCCTGGACAAGAACCTTCTCCAGAGTGCACAGAACCTCAGTCTGGGCTGAGGGTTTACCCGCCAACATGACCCTAAGCAGCTAAAATAATGAAGGAGTGGCTTCATGGCAACTCTGTGACTGTTCTTGAATGGCCCAGCCAGACTTAAACCCAACTGAGCATCTCTGGAGAAACCTAAAAATGGCCGTCCACCAACGTTCACCATCCAGCCTGACAGAACTGGAGAGGATCTGCAAGGCAGAAGATCCCCACATCCAGGTGTAATAAACCTGTTGCATCTTTACCAAGAAGTCTCATGGCTGTTTCAGCTCAAAAGTGCTTCTACTAAATGCTGAGCAAAGTCTGAATATTTAGAAACACGAAATGTTTCAATTTTTATTTAGAAATTCATCTGCAGAACTTTTTTTATTCTATTTTTGTTTTGTTTTTTTGTTTTTGTCAGTATGGGGTTCTGTGTGTACATTAATGAAGAGAAAAATGAATGTAATTGATTTTAGCAAATGGCTGCAATTTAACAAAGAGTGAAAATTTGACTTTCCGTACCCGCTGTATCTGAAGCAGTTTCTGCTGTCCACACAAAAATACTTTAAATATCAGTTTCAGCCTCACCACTTAATCCATTTTATCTTAATTCCATTTAATCTGAAGTCATATTAATATGTTTAATTCCAGAGTTTTCCTGTCAGGAATGACTTTTCTACAACCGTCCAAGTTAAAGACCGCCCGCAACAAGAACAAAGATGGTTTAAACCAAATTCTTGCTCAACATCTGAAAAACTGACCAAGTTTTGGACATTTTTTTGGGATGTCAGATATTATCAACTAGGGCTGCAACAACAAATCGATACAATTGCAAAACATCAATGAAGAAATGCATTGACAACGCGATTAACTACTTTTAGTCCTAGCACTTTTCCCCAGAACTTTATTGAACAAAGGTAAGTTGCCTGTTACTGTGAGGAAGATGCTTTTTACTGGCGCACAGTGCCAATCTAGGCGCTGTGGAGGAAAACAGAGAAACCAGCAAAAACACAAAGGCAGAAACGGTCCAACGTTTGGGATCCAAAGTACAGGCACGTTAGCTAATGCTAGCCGGTAGCAGTCTCATGATCAAGTGGTATCCAAAAAAACATGGTGGTCGTGAAACTAAGAACATCTAAACTCTACAAGCAGAAGAAAAGTCCCCATCATCCTGTTGACTAAGCTGTCTGCAGTCAGGTTGCTGCTTCCATCTGCTCTGCTGCAGGAATATGGCAAGCCACTGTGAACATAATTTAAAATGTACTTTTTGCTAACCCGTACATAATAGATATGTCACCATTCCATTTTTAGCAGTAGAAACTAAATGTTGTTAGCATTTCCAGTAGCTTACATGTTAATGAAATACATTACATTTTACTGACTGTTTACTTATGGATATATTTAGGTGATAGCGTGTTGTTTTGCACGCTATTGAACTGTTTTCTAATCATGTTGTTCAAGTAAAAGAAGGAGAAAAAATGTTTTCACAGTAGTTTTTACATTTTCCTGTTTATTCCGATTAATCAAGTAGAGACCCCATCCGATTAAAGATCAGGAGCAATGATCCTAATAATCCTTTGTTGCAGCCCTATTGCTGACTGATATTGGCATTAAAACATAATATCTGAAATTATTGGAATCAGTTTTTACTCCGACAACTTTTACACATCATGCAGCCGCAGATCAGATGAGACAATTAAGTCGATCTTTGAACTGTGGCCTAAGGAATCTTGGTGCAAAGAGCACATATGGACATCTTTATTCCTGAACATGATGTTCACAAGCACCAAAGTCCTTTTTGACAAGCTTCACAGGAGGTTTGACATGTGTAAACAGTTTCTCTGCCATCCATCATGACACAGGGGGCAGCTTCATGAACAGCGTGACATCACGTGCAATTGGTCAATAGTTATTGAGATATTTGAGTTTGTTTGGCACAACTGGCCTAATTTAGAATGAAGAAGTTTTCCTATTTTGTTTGTTAGTAGCTGACATGTATTAACTCACTTACTTTCGTCATTTGCATTTTTTTCCTATGTGGGCGTCAGAACGAGCCCCCGCACCGTGAGAACAAACATCTCAGCTCTAAAGCCGATCTTCATCCGCATACGCTACACGTCACATGATCAGGAAGCAGAAAATTCATGTGTTAGATCGTTTTTGGGCCGGTGCTGTGTAAAAAAAAAAAAAAAAAAAAAAAAAAAAAAAAGAGGTGCGAACCGGAAAAGCTTCTGCCAATCACAATTCAACAACGGATTATGGAACAATGGATAACGCTCGAAATGTGCAGATTCTTCCTGATGTAAGAGGTGAGTCTCTGCTTTGTCTTGGTTATTTTTGCGTCGAAATCATCCTAGCGTGCAACGTTCTGTGACTCTTAAAAAACCAGTAAAAACAGTGAGAAATGCTGGCAGCGAAGGCCTTTACTGATCAGGAAACGGCCGGCAGTGAATGATGTCAGTATGTAAAAATTGAGAGTTAGTCTACGTTGGTGCATCAGATATTGATTAAAAAAAAGCCAATATTGTACATCTCTAATTCTTTTGTTATTGTCAGTTGTGGTAACCATTTTAAACTGGGTTGACATCGACCCCTTAAACACATGTAGATGAATAAATTACACAATTAAATATGATCTATTTAACTTAATGATTACAGAAACTCATCTTCTCTAAAATCATTCATATAGATCTGGCTGAGGCCACCTCTGCAATCCACATCAGAACAAATAAAAAATTAAAAGATGCAGTGATTCCTCCTGATGTGGTCAGTCCTTTAGTAATGGAGTTCCACAAAGTTCTATACTAGGATACATCATTTTTACCATATACATGCTCTGTTTTAGGCAACACTGTGTGCATCTGTACGGGTGTGCATGCAGATATCAACCAGAAATATCTAGATCTACGGAGCCAGATGAAACCCAATACTAGCTTCTTCTAAAAGACACAAAAGGCATGTGAAACTCTGGATTCAGACAAAACTCAGGTTATACTCATTTGGTCCTACACAGCTCAGAAATACACACTACCCATACAGCTAATTTGTGGGCTACTTCTGAACAAAATATTTTACAATAAAATAATCTATAGACAGTCTTGTACCTTAATCTCAGGGGCATCACAGATCTAAATATGCTGCACTGAGAAGTCTCGCAGGAACCAGTAGGAGACGTAGCCCATTTCTCAGGTTTTACCCTCTCTTCGATGGCTTCATACAAATTTCAGAAAAGGGATTTTAAATCTTCTATCCTCACATAAAAACCCCTTTAGAATCAAATCACATCTGATAATGACCTTACAGTGCTGTGCTTTAGTCACAGGATCGGGATCTGAATGCTGGTTCTGACATGTTAAACCATGATTTCACAGATGTTGATCAGCTTTTCTCTTCAGTGTAACTGACTGATTTATGGCACTCACGGGCAGGCCGCTGCACAGCCTGAGCATAAACAACACAGCAGAAGGCATATGTGAAATAAAGTAGTCTAACAGTGAAACGGGGAACTCTGCATTCAACTTTAAAAGGCCTTTATGATCATTGTCTGAACACAAAGAGGTAGGCTGATTCTCTCCTCTGCTCAGAAAAGACTGACAAGACGCAGAAACGCCTATGGGGAGCTAATCAAGCATGCCAAACACAAAGCCTGCTTAAAAAATGACAATCCAACACAGCATGCTTAACATCAAATGACTATTCTATTAAAAAAATGCTTTTCATACACTTGCATGACAATAATAAGACTTAATTTACTCATGTGAACAAAGAGACAAGAAAACACACAACAGCTGCATGCATTAACATCTCCAGAGTGTAGAACAATAATAAACACAGACGAACGTCACTGCACCACACTTTTAGTAGCTTCTAGTTGTTTGTCTTTTCGTTTGGTGTGCAGGATCATTTAGAGCTTTAAAACTGCCTCAACTCAGAGCATCTTCTTGTCTTTCTTGTCTCCTATCTGCATTACATCATTGAGGGAAAAAGTAGTAAACGCAATCTGCTCTAGCTCGCTCTCCTTCCCACATTCCATCAGGCAGGAAAACTGATCCTTGTCCACGTTGTAAGCCAGGTCAGAGTAGCCGCTGGGGCCCCTGTGGATGATCCTGGGCTTGTCCCATCCAGACGAGTGCAGGGGCGACCGGTTCAAATACACCCCCATGTCCCGCCGGCTGGACTTGTTGGTCGGGTGCATGAAGAGGAGCCAGGTTTGTGTGTCTGGCGACAAAAGGGACGTGCCACAAGCTTTGCTCTCAGCGTCGTTGTTGGGGATGAACTCTGGCGCGGGAAAGCCAATGACACTGCCCTGGCAGCCAGAGGGTTGTTCCACCAGCTCTGACGCCGTGTGGGGCTTGTCGAAGTAAACGCCGCTGTTCTCACTGAGGGCCTCGCATCTGTGGCCCCCACTGTGACGAGCGTTGCAGTAAAGGTGACTCCTACCCTCGTGGTCTATAATCTCTGCCATCTCACATTCACAAGACTTCTTTTGGAGCTTCTTACCTATGTGCCATGTCTGTCCAAAGTCCTCGCTGTACACGGTGAGAGCGCGTGGGTACACTGTGAAGGGCACAGGAAAGGAGCAGCACCTGTAGGGGATATAATAGGTGTAGGCAGGGATGATCAGCCTGTTGTTCTCCAGCTGAACGCCATGGCCTGGGCCTACACCAAACGTGGCCCATTTGTGCACAGCCTCCCCAATCACGCTCTCTGTCAAGTCTGTGGCGTTGCTCCAGGTTTGTCCATCGTTGCTGCTGCTAACACAACAGAGACGGGTCTTGTTCTTACCTGTGATGATCTGCTTTATCTCAGTGGTATTTCCCAAAACGCAGATGAAAAACAGAAACAGCCTCTTGCTGTTCTTTTCGTACACCGGACAGGGGTTCATGGTGCGGTAGTTTGGTAGGCATGCAGTAGAAAGCTCCTGACTGGATGACCACTGGGGACGAAAGACAACATTTAATAAGAGCAGGGTTTAAAGTTAGGCACAGGTGTGTTTGCTGCAGCAGTGACAACCTGAACAGATCCATCCTCTTTCTGCAGACCTCTTCTCATCACCAGGATTTTGGCATCGTGGTCACAGGAGGAGGCTCTTTTCTCTGCAAAGGCGAGGAAGGTGCGACAGTGCCTCAGGTAGATGAGAGCAGGAATCCTGTATGTGATCCCACTGGGCTCCCTCTCAAATAAAGTTGTTTTAGCTGGTTCCTCTCCGGCGGCACTCTTTGATGCTCTGCTTCCCATGGTGGATGAGACTTCCTTGTATGTCACACGTACATGACCAGCCGTATTATTATCCTGCAGGAACCGCGCTTAGAGCTCAGACTGACAGAAAGAGTTCACGCTTCAGTAGCTCCTCACTAACAGACGAGCGGCCGGTGTCCATCACGGGCGGAACACGGCTCTTACCTTTACACGTCACTCCTGACCTGCTCTAGCCTCGACATCTCTGCGTCTATTTGAATGAGAAACCAGGGGCATCTGGCGTTCACGACACTGAAGGTTCTTCTTCACGAGCGAAGACAGCAACTAAACAAGAGGGATGGTCACTCTCACTTCCGCGTTCGTCTTAATGGCCGCTAACATGACCGGAATTACGTTTTCAGATTGCTGCAAACAATGACTAAAGCTATTTTTATCGCATGTTTACGACCAAATCTCTAAAAAATTAATTGTTGATAATTAACATAAATTAATTGTTGATAATTAACGCAGTAATGCCTTTGTACGCGAGGTTATACGTGAGGTTAGCGCGGTGGTTCACCATCTTGTCCTAGCAATAGCTCTTTGATTGGTGACACTTTACGGTCTGTCGCAACATCTTCACCGCCACCTGCTGGACAGGAGGAGAACCCAACCTCTCGTCTTACACGCTGTTGCTAGGATACGAACAACCACTGTTACAGCACACATCAGTGAGCTGTCTCTATCAATTGACATCTTGCATGCAAAGTCGTTTGCCGCTAATAAAAAGCTTGGAAACGAAATGAAATCAGAGTTTAGCTCATTCGAAGATGGCCAGAGCTTTCCAACCCGCCAGGAGGACGCAGCGTCGGAGGGAAGAGGGTTGGTCAAAGCAAAAAATATGAAGTATTTACAGGAACCTGGAAGAGCTAAAGACTGCACCTGAATGTAGTTAATACCTATGCTAACGAGGCTAAGAAAAGCTAATTATTAGCTGCTAAAACAAGCACAACATTTATAGTATCTACCTCTAACTGTAGTTTTAATCCAGATCACCTATAGGGTAAATAAAAACAGTTATTTACAACCCGTTAAACCTGATGTTAAACCTTTAAATGTAATTATTTCCAATGTAATAGAAACAATATGTGATCTGTAATGTGAGTAAAACTCTTTAATGTTATCAGTGTTTTGCTGCTGAGTTTTCTCATGTTGTGTTTTTGTGGCAGGCACCAGCCTCTGGCAGCTCGACTACAGAAGACAGGAAAACATCAGGAAACTGGATGGGACAACATTAGATAAACCATTCTTAGTAAGAAATAACATTTTTACCAATCAGATTTATTGCTAAGACATAAAAACTGTAAAATGAGTCACGATTAGCTTTTATGTTCATAGCTGGAGTCGCATTGTGTTGACGAACCGTCTCTTCTCTGCTTTGTCGACATCAGAGGGCAGAAACTGGGTTCTGTAAGAATTAAACTATTTTCTTCTTTAATATCTGATCTGTGGGCAGATTTGATTCCAGATGTTTTTTTCTTGGTGTACACAGCTCAAACCAGAAGACCTCAAAGAGTTTAAAAACGTAGCTTACGTCAATGCGTCCTTAAACTCCTTGTCCTTAGGTGATCATTCATATCGTACTTTTATTTCCTGACTGCCTGCTGTTCTGTCTGAAAAACGCCACTGTTCTCTGCAGGACCTTTCAGCTGTTTTGTGGCTTTGAGGGAACTCAATCTTACTTTAAATGGAATTTGCAGCCTGGCGTTTGACGGTGCTGATTTCCCTCATTTGAGGGTAAAAACATCAATCAATCAATAGCTCTGTGGAAAAGCACACGTCTTCTTTTAATAAACTGATTTAACCCTTCCAGGTTTTAGATCTGTCCTATAATCGTGTCCCAGCTGAGGATGCGGCCTCCCTCGGTCAGCTCCCGCGCCTTAAAACTCTTCACCTGACAGGAAATCAGCTTCATGGTCTTCCTCTTTCCTTCTGTTCATCCCACACCGACCAGCTGTAAGTACTTCCTGTTCACTTTGATTTAGAGGGAATCAAAGAAGCAGGATAATTTATTATCATTCTTTAAAGTTGGTATTAACACACACAGCCCTCACCAAGTAAACATTAGAATATAAATGAAATCTATAAAATTAATTTATTTCAAAATAAAAGCCCCTTTATTAAAAGCGTAAAACTTGTTTTTTTCTAAAGTTTTCTGTGACTGATTTATCAAGACTTTGGCAAACATATAATTAGAATATTAAATACAAACAAGCCTGTTTTTTTTAGGTTTTAGACTTTGCAGCAGTTTTCAAACTAACCAGAAGAGGGCGCACAAGTGCTCCAAATCTCCTCCTGGTGTGTGTGTGTGTGTGTGTGTGTGTGTGTGTGCGTGCGTGTACGTGTGTGTGTGTGTAGGTCATCTGAGGAAGGAGCCCATCAGTTTGAAGTCCTTGAAGTCCTGATGCTGGACAATAACAGACTCTCCTCTGAAGTCTTCTACAGTCTGACGAACCTCAAGAGGTCTTTATGTAGTTTAAGGTTCTCTGATATCCAACATAGAATTGAATCATTAAACATTTTCTTTACAGGCTTAAGACTTTAAACCTGCAGGGGAACCGTATTTCTGAAATCCCTCAACTACAACTGAGGGACGTCTCGGAGCCAGGACAGCTTCCTGCTGCAGAGCGAGAGGATGAGGGTAAAAACTCTGAAGTTTGATGTTCAACATTCTCATAAAGCTGCAGAATTGTAATTTTTACTCTCTGATTCAGCTCACACTGAGTCACGTACTGATATTCATGAATGCTTGAAGATATTGAAGACCTTCCACACATCCAGCTGGGAGAAGGACCTTAAAGGATTCTCTCTGCCTCTTCCTGAACTTCAGCATCTTAACCTCGCCGACAACAAGGTCAGAAACAAAACAGTACAGCTGAGTACCTAAGAACTCTTACAGGTGTGTGTGCCTTGTCTCATCCATGTTTTGTAATCAGATTACAGCAGAAGAAGCTCTGATTGGTGCTGCTTTTTTCCTTAAGCTTTGTGAGCTCGATATTCACTCCAATCCTCTCGTCACAGACAGAACAGGTACATTTCTCCTTTTGAAAGATGGTTTTTAAAGTGGGTTTTAATCACTTCCATGTGTCTGAACTCAGGACGCTCGCCTTTCTTGATCTATCTCCAAAAGAGACTTGGAATAACGATAAAGGAAAGGAAAACACAGGGAGTGGAGAGGATCCACCTAAAGGTGTCCACGGACTCTAAAAAGAAGGTCTGAAATCATTTAAAGAGCAAGTCACCGCCTACCAGAGTCTTACTCCTCTCCCACTTCCTGTTAGAAAAATGCAACAAATGCTGTTGTCTGGCAGACCGAGAGGGTGGAGCTGCTAATAAATACACACACACACACACACACACACAAGCTCACAATAACATTGTGACATCATATGGTACCAGCTAAAGTCATAGTGTACCTTTTAGCCAATAGCTGTGGCGGATTTAAATCCTAATGCAGTGCAGAGTTTTACCTGAAAACGTACAACACTGACAGTTTTAGGCAGAGTATTAAAATTTTAAGTAAGATGCACTAAAGTGCAAAATTATTCACTACAATTGTCTACAGCACAATTAGACACTCATTTGACCCGAATATAGGCTGACTCAGATTATAAGACGACCCCCCTTCCCAAGACTAATCTTCAGGAAAAGACAAAAAAAAAATCACTTTTTAAATTAAATAATTTTATTGAAAATTTAAGAACAAATACTGAGCAAAAATACTATTTTAATGCATAAGAACTTTGCTGACATGTGAAATCAAAAGTCAAATGAGGCTTTTATTCAGACGTCCTCTGTCTCGCTGTACTCACTCACTCTCATTCTCACTCATGCTGCTGCGGTCCCGGTGTACCGTCAGATCGCTACACCCGCTGACTCCTCCCAGAACGTCATCCTCACTGCCATCTAATGCGTCCATGCATGCGATGTTTGACGCCTCTGCTGAAGCGACCACCATCATCTTAACATTTGCATAACTCTGCCTTATAGCTTGTTAACTCGCCCCACTTTCGGTCCACTCTGCTCCAGACCTCTTGTCTCCATTTTTTTCTCCTGTTGAGAACACACTGCCTGGCGCCCTCTGCTGTTACGGGTGTGTAATGACCCCAGACAAATATCAGCATGTGTAAATGCTTAGACCCCGATTTAAGACAACCCCACATTTAAATATTATTGTCCATGAAAAAGACCTTGTCTTTTCTTCGGGTCGATACGATATATAGTTCATCAGCAAAAGAAAAAATGTTTATTTGGGGGTGACTTACTCTTTAATAAAATATTCCACAATTACCATCTGTTCTGATATTTGTTTGCGTGACAGGAGAGGAAACACATCCCAAAGGTGACAAAAAGTCCATTTTTGAAAGACGACATTTGTCAGAAAAAAATTCAGGAATCGACTGACCAGATATCAGCAAGACCTAAAGACAAGAACACCAGCAAAGTCCATAAAAACACTCAAAGCTTCTTTATTACTCAGGTATGTGTGTCGGGCTGGGGGAGGGGGATCCACATCTGAAATAATCCTGATGATCTCTGATTCTTGTTTGTTTTTATCAGGCGGAGGAAGAACCCAAGTCTGACTTTGTTTTTTCATCTGAAGCAAAAGAAACGGCGGAGAGCAGACGCCGAAGTAGAAGCATTTCAGAAGAATGCTACAGAAGGATTCTGGACACAGAAACAAACCCTGATGTGCTGAATAAGCCTGTTGGTGAGGAGATACTCCCTGCAGCTGTTTAGTGCGTTGGACATGCAAAGGTTTGGCTATACGTTTACCCTCGGGGGACCAGAGATGTTTTTCTTGTCTTTGAACAGGGATTCAGACAGCTGTTCAGATGTTAGAGCACACACTGAGGAATCTTAATGTCTACAGAGACTCCAGACCAAGACTTGATAGCATCCAGACACCGTACAGACAGAGCGGAAAAAGGGTTTGATATTTTGCCACACAAAATGGTTTTTGCACGCACATTTCTTCTTTCAGGCTCCGATAAATCACGCCGTGTTTTCACCTTCCTGTTTTTCCTGGGTGCAGATAAAGGAGCTGCCGCCTTTGAGGCCGTTAAAGCGCCCGGGTCCAAGGGTTGACGAGTTGATGAAGGAAATGAAGGAGAGTAAAACCATAAAAGTGGTCCCCTTGGGTACGGGCCCGAGTCCCACCTGGAATCAAAATGAACTGATTCCAACCTCACGTTATCGTTTGTTTTCTGCACAGGAAGAGCTCTGCGCAGCAAAGATGGTTACCGGGCAGATTATAAGGAGGCTCAGTCCCTGCTGAGGGACTTGATGGTAAAACGCAAGATGGTCCACGAGAAGGCCTTTGAACATAATTACCCTAATGCAACTGATCGTCCTCCTCAGCAGGAGTTTTAATTAGGAAGATGATGGGGTGGTGGAGTCAATAAAGTATTTAAATCTGTGTAAAGATCAACTTAAAGCTTTCATTCACTCATTAGTTTGATACATTTGCGCAGGGCTCTAGTATAAATGACTGCCTTGTGAATCATTCTCTGTGGAACAAAAGCTCTGGCGCTCCTGTTTCAGTAAATGTTTTAGAGTTGTTAGTATTCATGATATTCAAATATCTTTCCTCTGATTGGCTAACAGAAATACAACTCTTCTGCTGCCACCTTTTGCTCTGCAATGTCCATGTTTTTTTTTCTACAAATAACACCTGAGTGACTTTCGCCATGTTGCGGAGTTGCTAATAATAATAGTTAGCTTCTATTAGATGAGGCACGCTCTGCTCTCTTCTGGCTCAAAAAGTCGACACAGTCTTCCCCGCCTTGAGCCAAGGTGGGTGAGTTGATGAATGCTAATTCGAGGGTTTCTTAAATGTTTCGGCGGTTAATGCAGGAAGTAGGGGTAGAAGACCATTTTCATGTTCAACCTGCATGTTAAACTCAGAGTAACCAATCATATTTCAAAAAGAAACAAGTAAAAACTGTTTCTCAGTGAACTCGCTGTTTAACAACAACTGATTTATTGTAGCCAGCAGAGAACTTTAATTTTTAAGATTGACTCAAAAGGTAATGCAAGATGGCTGTCATGGCTAATTAGCATTAGCAACAAAAAGGACATTAAAGCAGGCTACTTGACAGACATTGAGCTAAAGTCGGATGTAAGAGATCTTCTGTATTAAAGACTCTGAGCACTAACTGGTCATGATACTCCACCGTCTCGCAACCTGTTGGGTTAAAACTCTGGGACGTGGGTCCCATCCTGCTGTGTTCCTGAGGCCAGAGCTGATGCAGCAAACTATATTTCTGTCTCTGGCTCGAAGTGCCGGTTTAGAGCAGCTGCTCCATTAACAAAACATCTTTGGCAAAACATTTAAACTAAGCTTTCTATATTTAATCTTTTTCACGTTCTACCTTCTCACCTAAAAGAAAAATAAAACAAGTCCTGTTGATAGAGTTTGTACAGTTCTAACTCAAAAACAAACTTAAAGTACCAGAAATGAATCGAAAAACGAATGTGGATCTTTGTGAAACAGGAATTCACCTAAAACACTGTTTTCCTTTCATTAAAAGGCCTTTCTTGCAGGCATGAACATGGAGTTGTGGACGTCTGCTTCTTTGAACAGATCTCCACAGCTCAGAATGATTTATGGTCCACGTTAACAGAATCATTCCAGTTTGGGTTCTGGAAATTAACCTCTTCCAATGAGTCATTTGACATATTGTAGTGATCGCCCTTTACTAATTATGTTTTGTTTTCCGTACGTTCCCCGCCGGATTTCACAGCGCTGCCGCTCATATGATTTCCATTATTTGTCTCCAGAGCGGCTTGGAGATGTGGAATGCACACAGAGCCTCAGAGGGATAAATCCATCATGAATGTATGAAAATGTTTCACGCAGGGATTTAACATGGTTACATTTGTATCAGGAGATTTCTCTGCTTCTGTTTGTAATGAATAAATAGTGATTAATGGAATGCACACCTTAAAGTTTTTAATACAAGTATTTATATTAGTGCCTTTCAAATGAAACTGAAATAATGTTCTACACAATAAAATAATATAAAAAACACAACAATTAAAAATGTCATGTAAAAATAATATATAATTTGCTGAAGTACAACCAAATTAAATCTAAATGTGAATCTAAAACAAGACCACAAACACAGAGTTCTTGAGCATACGGAGCTAAAACTCTTGTCTGTTTTAGTTTCTAGGGAACTTAGCCCTGATCAGTCAAACTCGGGATCCTGTTGGTGACACAAACCTCTAAATCCTGACCAGAGCCAGACAGGAAGTCAGTACAGAGAGATGATGGACACAGCCAAAGGTTAAGCAGCTAAACTATGGACATAACAGCAGGAGAAAAACTAGATGTACACCTCAGAGATACTGTAGCACAAAACCAGGAGAAAGTGATAAAAGACACTAGTAAATAATCTTAAAAGGAAAAAAATAAAGAACAAATGCAATGGGACCAAGAACACACCCCTGTGGAACACCCTTCACTTGATAATTTAAAGAGCAAGTCACCCCCAAATCAACTTTTTATTCTGACAAACTGTACAAATGCATGTCTAATCGTGCTGCAGATATGTGTAGTCAACAGTTTAGCACTTTAGTGCATTTAGTTAAAATTTTAATTTTCTGCCTAAAACTGTCAGTGTCGTGTCGTTGTCAGGTAAAAACTCTGCACTGCATTTGAATTTAAATCTGCCATTGCTATTGGCTAAGAGGTACCCTAGAACATTAGCTGGTACCATATTATGTCACAATGTCGTTGTGAGCCTGTGTGTGTGTGTGTGTGTGTGTGTGTGTGTGTGTGTGTGTGTGTGTGTGTGTGTGTGTGTGTGTGTGTGTGTGTGTGTGTGTGTGTGTGTGTGTGTGTGTGTGTGTGTGTGTGTGTGTGTGTATTTGTTAGTGGTTCCGCCCTCTCGGTCTGCTAGGCAACAACATTTGTTGCATTTTTCAAACAGGAAGTGGGAGTTGAGTAAGAATCTGGTAGGGGGTGACTTGCTCTTTAATATTTAGAAACATAAAACAATATAATCCAGTCTCTCCGTGAAGCAGCACTAAGTGGTTCACTGGGTCTGCTCCTGTGTTTCTGAGACTGCAAGCAAACTTGACTTTATACAACAAATAAAAACAAAATACTACATCTTTTTAACATTTGGATTCATGGAAAATTGGAGCAGGTCTATATCCAAATATTTGACAGACAGTTAAATATTTTTTCATGATTTCTCCCTGGAAACATGTTTTAATGGACCTTCAAAGTTAAACCAAAAACACAGAAACCCTAAAAAACCAGACGTTTGTTTTTTATTCAGGATTAGATCTGTAGATCTCTACTAAACAGCCTAACATTTCTGACAACATTTCCCATGTCATTTTGATTTTCATGTATTTAGAATTCAAGTCCTTTAAGTCCTGGCCTTTAGTCTGGGGGTCTGGTTGAAATCGCTCTATCTTCAGCGGTATATTTAATGGCGACGAGGAGACGGTGCCAAATTGCAGACACTCTGCTACAGAAAGTCGTTTCCAGTCTGCTACAGCTCAGCTCTGCCTAACAGACCTTGCTTGTGGTGCAACACAACAGTTACACACTATAGGCACACAAAAACCCTGATGCCAAAACATGAATCGAATCAGTAATTGTTCGTGTTTTTACCCAAACCTGAAGACAACTCATGACTCCTGCTCTCCAGGGGAGTTCTGGTATGATTCTGTCTGACAGGAATGTTGTTGCCAAGTCATTAAGACGTGAAAACGATACACACTTTATGCTTTAAGAGTTGCGCAAGAGACGGTTTTCATGATGGAATTCTTTGATGCAAGAAAGGAAAAAAGATGCCTGATGTTGTGCAAGAAGTTGAAATAACACAGTTTTCCACAGTTTGGAGTCATGATTGTTCCTGCACAGCTTCAGCATTAACAGATTATTTGAAACCCCAAAAATCTTGAAACCTGCATGGTCATGTTAATGGAATTAATAAAGTAGTGAAAGTACATTTAGGAGGCCATTTTCCTCCAGTTAATTAGCGATATAAATGTTTCTCTTTTGTGTTTGACTGGAGACAAACGTTCATGTTTTGAGTTGCTTTTCAAGGAATTAGGAAGATGGTACCCTGAGGAACTCCTAACCATTCCTGAACTGGTTGGTATAGAAAAATGCTTTTTACAGTTTAATGGAGGCTAAAATCAGAACTTAGCAGGAAACAACATTTTTACACGTTGGGTATATTACCAGGAAACTCCGCAGACACTATTTCCTCTGAAACGGTGGTCAATCCTCAAGATTCAGATGGATAAAATTGGATTTTACAAATTCTGACAAACTCCAAACAAAGATGATGAAGTATGAGCTAATCAGTCCGGATCAGGACCAGAAGATGATGTCAGGGCGAATTCAAGGTCTATACAAGGACCAACACTGTAAATATTGACTTTATTTTATTATTTTTATTTTTTTTTACAAAGTTCATGTAATTTTCAGTAAACATGATAAAATCATTTAAATCCACAAGTGAGAGCAGGAACTGACTTTCAATCCCAGCTGAGCTGCAGAAAAACCTGAATAAATGGCGTTATAGTTATCTGCTGTGTTTTTAAATGCTTTAATTCAGTTTATGAAACAGGCGGTTTCCCTTAAACTCCTAAAGCATGGATTTATTACCAGGGTCATTTTAATGCCTTGGGATTTGAACAGAACACTCATTAAGTCGTTTATTTTAACCAATAAACTGAAGTTAATGAACAAACCTGAGAAAAAGCTGATTCTTCATTTGAATCTGTGTTCTGGAGATGTACTCCTGCTGGCATCAAGAGCACACGCAAGAGTCTCCCAAGACTAAAAATTATTTCAAGGCTCGATCAAATGCTGCTTTCCACACATGATTGTAATTTATTTATAAGGTTGTTCACTTTAATGAGCATTAACTTTAGTTTTAAAGTTTGTAGATCCAAGCCTGAGGAAAACCAGTCCTGTTTAGTCATTGGATGCTTCCTCCCATCAACACCAACTCTCTCTCTCTCTCTCTCCCTCTCTCTCCCTCTCTCTCTCTCTCTCTCTCTCTCCCTCTCTCTCTCTCTCTCTCTCTCTCTCCCTCTCTCTCCCTCTCTCTCTCTCTCTCTCTCTCTCTCCTCTCTCTCTCTCTCTCTCTCTCTCTCTCTCTCTCTCTCTCTCGCTCTCTCTCTCTCTCTCGTACTTTGTCTCATTTAATCTCCTCACCAAGAAAAAGTGATAAACTAAAAACACATTTTTATCCACACTCTTGGTGAACTAAATCTGGCAGAGAGACCAGGAAACTGTCCAAGAAAAAAAAAAAACAAAGAACCCAAGGAAGAAAGAGCTCAGTTGTTCTGGTTTAAGGAGGATTGATCTTCTTCTTTTATATTTATTTCACATCTGGAGCGACAATCCGAGCTTTCAGGACTGAGAATTGTTTGACTTTAAGAAACTGAAGGCGCAGAAGCTAGGCTTTGAGAATCACCCTGTGGAGACTCAGACACTCGATTTGGCTCTGAGGGAACGGCCTCATCAACCCTCCTCATTACCAAAGTGCCAAATGAGTTCACTGCAGACTGAACCTATTCATTATTTCTCTTGATGGACAATTAAACTGTAGCTTACTTATCATGTAATTTCTGGAATGGCTTCAGATGCTCTGGCACACAGCTGAAAGGAGTTTGTTAGTAATTACAGCCCAAAACTGTGAAGTTGTTCATCTTGTGCAAAGAAAAAAACTAACCTCTCACTGTGAGCTGTCTGTTAGAGTTTACAGTCATTACGGGCTCCCTTATTCTGCTGATCTGAGAGGATGAAAGTGTCTCTGACATGTGTCCCACTATCAGCTAAAATGATCTTAACTAATGAGAGGATAAGGGTGCATGGAAAC